CTCAAAATTTTGATAAAACTGGTAAAATAGACACTGGTCTATAATTAAAAATGTCAGTCATTGCTCCACCTTTATGAAGTGGAATGACTTGGAAATTTACCTGTGGTGACACTCAAATTTGATATATATGTCAGTGAAGATGAAATTTGAGTTTCAGCTAACAAATGTCTGAAAACGTGACTGCATCGTCATAGTTAGATTCACCTGATATGTTGTAAAGCTCTTTAAACATCGAAGCATATAGATGTCATTCAGATTCCTTGCAAACTACAGCCATAACAACCACATTAAAAAGAACATATTTGACAATTATCATATCAGATCTTATTCTCGTCACTTAAAGTTAAAACATGCTATTGATGTAACAAGGGCGTATTTTTATGTGGATGATAAATTTGAGGACATGAAAATCATAGTAAGTTTCACCTGATATGTTGTAAAGCTCTTTAAACATCGAAGCACATAGATGTCATTCAGATTCCTTGCAAACTACAGCCATAACAACCACATTAAGAATTAAGAAGAAAATATTTGACAATTATCATATCAGATCTTATTCTCGTCACTTAAAGTTAAAACATGCTATTGATGTAACAAGGGCGTATGTTTATGTGGATGACAAATTTGAGATTATGAAAATCATAGTAAGGTTCACCAGATATGTTTTAAAACTCTTTAAACATCGAAGCATATAGATGTCATTCAGACTTCTTGCAATCAACAGCCATAATAACCACAATAAGAAGAAAATATTTGACAATTACCATATTAGATCTTATTTTCGTTCTATTGATGCAACAGAGTGTATTTTTATGTGTGATAAATTTGAGAACATGAAAGACTGTTTACTTCCAAAGACTCCATATAGATTTAAGTTTATGTGATATACATGTCTCTGGTTTGAATGATTACACAAATCGGTATATTAATATGACAAAATATTTGAATGTGTATGATAAATTTGACATACAGTACACGCCAGGTGATTTGGTACTCATTCGCCCGCCGAGCGACAAGTTTTAATCCCTGTCAAGCTTTATTGCCCTTAAATTAGTTCATTATTATTATAGTGTCACATGTAAAAGGTACAAATATTGCAATCTCTAAAATATGTCTACTCACCCACCCTTACATCCAGTCTATATTAGACTTACGAGACACTCACTTTCCCCTATCATTCTAGACTGTAAAAGTATTTCATATATGCACATACTTATGAATTAAAAAGAAATGCAAATATAAAACTATAAAAATAATTGACATTAAAAGACACATTACTGCTTAATTATAGATCAAGTTGCGACGACGGTTAAGAATATTAACACAGATTTTGGCACAGGACCTCGCCAAGTAAGGATTGCTTAAAATTACAACTAACTTTTTATCTTTACTCATATTGTAAAAATCACTTGTGATTTTACTAGCCTCCTGCAGGGATGCTTCTGACAAAATTTGGTCAAAATCTGCTCAGTCGTTCATGACTAGTAGCGATTTTTAGGAAAGTTGACGGACGGACGACGGACGGACGCTGCGGTATGGCATACACTAACCATGGTCCTTCGGAGCAGGTATGCTAAAAACATGTAGCCACCTGTCGGTCATCTTTGTTTTCATGTCAGATCCAAAATTCGATATGCGTAACTACAGACCATAAGAACATTCGTGTTAAACTTCTTAAAAAACACCCCAGTTCTTTCTGAAAAATGGCGTTAACAATCTATCACTATTCAAAATGGACATATGTTGGTGGTAATTTAACATGGTGTAAATTATTGCTGTGATGCCACCTGTATACACTGTCTACGTAAAGTTTACGAATAACGAATAACGAATAACTGTAAAGTAAACAAGTAAACGAATAACGAATAACTGTAAAGTAAACGGATAACGAATAACGAATAACTGTCCAACTTTACTTAGTTACAGATTTCCGTTTTCCATTGACAAATCAAATACCATCAGTTTAAAAGCTAGCGTCGTCCTCAGTGGTCTGGTAGGGTAAGCTGACACCGTCATCACCTTTCATTGATCCTCATAAAGATCCGCCATGACATTTGCTGTATACAACTATCACACGTGTCCGAAAACAGGTTCACCTCCAGGTCGACGTACCTACATTGTATTTAACCCCATAAAATATGAATCAGTAGGATTTCTGTGGATCATCAGTCAATCTGATGATATATCCAAAGCCGATTTTTGTAAATAATGTTTTATGTTGTAAAATTATTTTAATATTGTCTACCAAATTAAGTTTTCTTAAAAATGTATAAAAGGTGTCTGACTTCTAAATGTACATGTATATATAAACAGTGACCAGGCGCGTAGCTGTAAGCAAATAAGCAGTTCCATTGAATTTAAGGCTTTTAAATAATATGGACCTTTGTGATTATAGGGGATGCTATTCAACAATTGAAAGTGACCCCGAATCGTACTCTACTGGGTCTTATACATTGACTCGACAATGCTATAATCATTTTCTGTCGTATCAAAAACAATATTTAGCACTCAAGTTTTGCTCTAAAAGCCTCCCGAGAGCACCACAAAGCTTCTTGATAACATTTTTATCCGGGGAAGGTTGGGGGAGGGGCCTAGATAACAGGGATCTGAGTATTTGTATGTGAAATTATAATTAAACAAAATGAATGGGTTTTTTTTAACTGTCTTACTTCATTACACTTTGTACGATAAAATACCTTCAACAATGGTGAACCAAGGGTGTAGTCTTGATATAGCCCAGTAGGTGTGTATGACATGAATAGCCTTACATATTTCTTCAAATCAATAATACTATAAACAAAATGACAGGTAATAAATTCTACACCAGCTCTTGATAAAGCACAAACGATTTTCGAATATATACACATATTAGTTTCGCTCCATGCATGTATTGTTATGAGCTTATATCAATTATTTAGTGTTCTGATCATATTTACATGCGTTTTATCTGCAACGCAAACTTTGTTGAGTTTATTGAAGGGACTTTTTTAATGGTTTAAGTTCCACTGTCTCCACTTTACTACACATACCAGTATATAAATACTGGAGAGCAGAATCATCGTTGAATCAGTATTTATTGAACAAGAAAACAAAATCTTGGAATATATCATCACACATAATAGGCTTACTTAAACTTACTTCGCTAATACCGGAATCAACAAAAAAAATGGAAAAATGGAAATCACCAGACGAGATAAAACCTACATGTACGTGTTTTTCCTCCTGTAAAAATACTAACAGTGCTAAGATCCCTCCTGGATAATAGCGGAAATGTTGGGAACTACACGGTCTAAAACATATACAACATCCAGAAAGTAGGGGCATCATACAAGAACAGGAAATCAACTATTTATGTATGAATACAGAAAGGTTAAATACCTGAAAACAGTCAAAACATGATCAGATAAAGAGATTAAGCGGGTATGTCATTCAAGTGAAACACAACTGACCCAGATAAAGCCAAATCTTTCTACAACTTCAATGAACAGGAACGAAAGGTAGAAGTTTAAACTTTCATCAATACCGCTGCAGTTAGCACTATAGCGTTATATTCTTTCAAACCATTGGCGGTAGATTATTGAAATGCAAAGTCAGACCGTCTTTTATTTAAGGCTATTTTGAATTAACTTGTTTTCAATACAAGTGACTAACCCAACAGTCGACTGAATACAGAGGTGATCTGACATGCCTGCAGAAATCATATAATTTTTTATATAACACATATATCTATTGCTTATATTGACGAGATGGGGGTTTCCACTGATTTGGTTGACATACACGCATGCGAATTTGAAAACAAAAGCTAACATCGTTCACTAAACAACATGTAACAAGCATGTTTTCCAAAATAGTAGACGGTAAAATGTGAATCGAGCTTAATTCTGTCTGTGAATCTCCTCCCAGTTTCACGAACGTAAAATTTCCATAGGAGAGCGTTACTAAACTGACGAACTCCGGATCCAATAACGAGTCTCTATTAAAGACATTATTTAAGGAGCTTCATTGAATTAAGGCAAGATCAGTGTTGATGTAATTATTCAAGGCTATTTTGAACCGAAGTGAAATAACACAATTGTAAAAAAAAAATCCTCTGCTTCAGTCATTCAGAACTCCGGCTAGATGTCGCGTGCTCATTTGCTGTAGAGAGGACCGTATGGTGCGAAATTTGACCAGGGACACTTGAGCCCGAGAAAGAAACACGACGTTATTTTCCCGTCAGATGATCAACTTTATAATTAAGTTTTAAATAATTCCACCTATTATCTGTTTTGATCAAAGCGGCACATGCCACATGGGTTACATATAAGAAATACTCGTATTAGTTAGGAATTATAAACATGTATATATCATATATTACACACGGGGTTAACTTTTTTTTAATCCTGTCACCTAAGTTTTTTCTCACTGCATTGGGCTATCATATACCGACCATTATAGATAACCACATAAGCGTGCTGAAAATACTAAACGCACTATTGAATTATATCTCTGTTTGTATTATCTCTCTCTATATATTTTATAGGATTAAGTTTTCTTATCAATGTGAACAAAAATTCCGTGATAGATGTCGACTGCTGACGGATAAACTTACGACCCAAGGTATCGTGAGATGCAGATTGCTGGAGTGTATGTGCTCATTTTATGACAGCTTTCATCATCTAATTGGGAACGAAATTACACATTTGGTTTTGCGATATGACGGTCTCGTTGTCACTACCCCGTTCTTACTTTGAGGACGCCATATCACATACACTTACATTAAACATAGATGTACATGGCCAGTCTCTATGAAGCAACCTGTGCTTATCCTTCCGGAACACATGATCTGTTACTCCTGATAGTTTTAAAGGTTTTCATGTAAATCTTGCCATCGATTTATCCAAGCAGGAGTTACTGGAGTTACGGGGTTGTTCACATTGATGTGCACTTGTTGATTATTAATACATAGAATTTGGTCATAACAGAATACAAACGTCCAAAAAAATCTTTTAAACCTCTCCTCTTGTTCAACATATTTCTGAGGTGATTAGTTTTATGAATGTATAGCACGTGTTTACATGTTCAATAATTCCATGTAAAGATTTATTCTTGATGAGTCGAAAATGTGAATTGTTAGGAGGGGATGACAGACGCAAAGACGAAGTACGTGCACTAATAGAGTAAATCATATGTAATGTTGTGGGGTATGGATATTCTGCCCGAGGGTCTAGAATTCAGGTTATAACCAAGGCTATGCCAAGGTTCTGACACCAAATTCTACACCAGAGGGTTGAATTATCATTGTCCGCATACATGTAGCTTCAATATATTTGACAACTTTATTTTTTTCCCACATCTTACCCAAATGTTTCGTACGACATGGCGTAGAAAGAGCAAATGCAGTACTTTACATACATGTACAGTAGCAATATTTACCTTCTAGATAACGTATACACAAACCAAGGCCACATCTGAAAGGGGCTAAAATAGTTAGGAATACCAGTGGTAATCTCAAATTCAAATATTTGTGCAAGACGTTTAGTGTAAACTTGTGCATTGACTTAAATGTTGCTGAGATGGTGTCACTTGCCAACTGCAAGCTTGTTACCGCCATGTCAAACGTTTTGGCGGGCTTTGGATTGTGACGTCATTAGCATAAAAGTTACTGAGTGTACACATGTGGGATAAACAGAATCTTTCACCCTCTTGATTATGAGACAGGTAAAATCCGTAGAATCGACAAAGAAGACAGACAGTCATTGTGTTGGTGTCATACATTACGTGAAGTCATGCTCATTATGTTAAACCTAATCTGTTTATCAAGGTTTGTTGACGTTTGACAGTGTACACAATAATGCAGACTATATGTACATTGTAATGAGTTAGACCACAAGTCTTACATAAGCGAACACCGACTGGAAAGAATAGCACAGACTGAATAAACGATGGGCTTACAAATCACAATGTATATATAGTCTCCATTATTGTTTACGCTGCCAAACGTCAACAACCAGATTAACATGAGGGTTTCGTATGGGTATGTTAATCTCAGATATTCAGAGGTGTAAGAAAACAATTTCTTAGACCAAATGTTTAGGTGACTGAAACAGTTTAAACAGAACAGTAGCAAAAGGTGTTATCACAGCAAATCACTGACATAACTAAACGGGAATATACAATAGGTTCCAAAAAGTTTTCTGGTATTTTTTTTTTTTTTACATAAGTTGACAACAATGAACGTTATGACTGCAAACCGCTCTTATATGTCAATGTGTCTCATCTCCGTATTACACAATCCGCACTCATGTGTCAATGTGTCACCTTCCCGTATTACACAATCCGCGCTCATGTGTCAATGTGTCTCCTCTCCGTATTACACAATCCGCGCTCATGTGTCAATGTGTCTCATCACCGTATTACACAACCGCACTCATATGTGAATGTGTCTCATCTCCGTATTACACAAATCGAACTCATGTGTCAATGTGTCTCCTCTCCGTATTACACAAACCGCACTCATGTGTCAATGTATCTCCTCTCCGTATTACACAACCGCACTCATATGTCAATGTGTCTCATCTCCGTATTACACAACCGCACTCATATGTGAATGTGACTCATCTCCGTATTACACAAACCGCATTCATATGTGAATGTGTCTCCTCTCCGTATTACACAATCCGCACTCATGTGTCAATGTATCTCATCTCCGTATTACACAAACCGCACTCATGTGTCAATGTATCTCCTCTCCGTATTACACAAACCGCACTCATGTGTCAATGCTGTTACGTGGTTATACACGGTAATGATAAGGAAGCTACAAACATTAAAAAGTTGAATGAATTTCGAATCAACTTTTATATCAAATTAGCCTAGTTTGAGAATCGCGATAAATCGTCATGCATGGCAAATATTGGAGTGAAACATCGTCAGACAAACACTAGTGTATCTGGGGACGTGTTGTCAGTCTTGTTATTCCTAAGATCATACACAAGCACTTCGTGCGCCTTAAGTCCCCCGTGCGTAACGAGCAGTCTGAGATTCGACGTTAAACACACACCTTGTGGATGCATGACACCGTCTGATGACGTCACAAGATGACGTATGAACTGTCCGGTCTTTGAAAAGAAAGACACTCTGTCATTGTAATGGTCGGCAACAATCATGTTGCCAAAAATGTCTGTACACACACCATACGGACATTTTAGTTGGCCTTCACCTTTCCCGAGCTCACCGATTTTTTGTACAAAGTTACCATCTGAATCAAACACCTTAAGAGCATGATTCCCCGAGTCACACACGATAATGTCGTTGTTAGGGGCAACTGTGACGTAACGGGGTCTGTCTAGATGTTGAATAGGGGACATACTGCTGCCTATAGTCGAGATGAACGTCCCGTCCGCCTCATGAGCGGTAAGGAGATTTGACGTCAAGTCACTGACAATCAATCGATCATTTTTATCAATAGCGATGCCGGAGGGTGTCATGAAATTCACATCTTTTATTGGTTCTTTGATTTCTCCATTTTTTGAAAATCTTGTAACACATTTGGTTTTCTTGGAAGTGACGTGAATGACTTCTTCTGTGTTGACAGCTACTGCCCAGGGTTCGACCATATCATCTGTACTATAGGCGATCGATGACACTCCACGCTTATTGAAATGCAATACGCGGTTACCTATCATGTCAACAACAAGACTCCTTCCGTCGCCGATATATATGACGTCGCTCGCGTCACTAAGGCAACCAACTTTTTTATTACTCGGGAATGTCATAACTACTTCCGGTTGCAAATTGTCTAAATGACACTCATTATCAAACACGAACTGAAGATTTGTATGGCCTTCCATGCCGTTCCATGACGTCAGTGCTTCGCTGTCCGACTCACCGCTGTCGTCCGTACATATCTCCTCTTCTATATCATCTTCAATATCGACATGTTCCATTTCAATTGAGAAATCTGGAGAGTGGGAGTGTGTGGACAATTTGTTTTTAAATATTCTATCTAAAGTTGAAGAAAAACGTCGTTTTAGAGAGCCTTCGTGTCCGGGGTTACTTTCTGTTAGTGACGTCACATTCGGTATCGGTATTGTTGACTCCGGTATACTTCCTGTAAAAAAATCGAAAGAAGACGTTACATTATTATAAATATAGGAAAGGTGTTTATTTTATACAACTTAAGAAACTTATCCATAACAATCACAAATATCCTATATACTCATCCTCGATACTCCAGGAGTAACGCTCACTTTCGCTCTCTGCACCTCTGACATATGTCCTCAGACCTGCGACACTTTACTAGTTGTGGTACATTTTGGTGAATATGATGTGATATGAACCTGAAATAGTGATATTGACTGAGGCGAACCGGATAACCAGTCTACATGAGTTTTTGAGGACTGGTCACGTGTAGAGGATCCGAACAATGTGATTGCGAAAAATGTTCATGAATATGATAATAGCCTTTATAGTATTCTTGAAAAATATAATATACATGATCTGAAAGTCTTGTTTTCTATCAATTAAAACGTTTTATTTCTCCGATACGTTATGTAGTGGAGTATAAATAGATTATTAGATATTCTTAAATTGAAAAGATGTGGTGCATTATTTTTTCTGACATCGTCGTAACAAAATACCATAATGGCGTGATTTTGAAGGACGAAATATATTGCGTTGCTGGGACAGAGGATCCTACATAAACAACAAAGACCTTTAGCCAGGGTACTAGTCTCCATTTGATGATACAGAATGTAGATTCTGAATATATCACAAATAAACGTGTCATATTACTGAGAGAGTTTCATCTTTTATAAACACATATGTTTACAGAACCCCATAGTTACTGTATGTCGGTGAAGCAGTAAATTTAAGACGTTTCGTATAGAGAGAAAAAACAAGTTCAAGGTGGAAGTTGAGAGGGAACTATCCCTGCCGTCATGTAACTATGTAATATATTTATCAACTGCCTGATCACGGCATTCTTAGCACGTAATTGTACCTAGATACGTCACATAATTCAGCTCGCTAGCGACACAAGTACATCGCAAATGGCCTTGCTGGAATATTGTTTAAATCCATATTTTCATTTGTAAAAAGTCCCATGTTATCACAGTATGAGACTGCAAATAAATTCTGACTATTTAATAATCTATCTACATATGTATGCATCAGAGCGAGTGAATACGTTTTAAGTCTGTACATGTTACAGCAGTAAGCGTCTACGTGTATGCTATTTTTTCTCCATTGAAACAAAGACTGTTCCATGTCTAAAGACTTTGTGTCTATTCATTGTAAGACACATTTCTACGAGTCTAGTTTATATAAATTGTAAGACACACTTCTACGTGTCTAGTTTATATATATTGTAAGACACACTTCTACGTGTCTAGTTTATATACATTGTTAGAAACACTTCTACGTGTATAGTTTATATACATTGTTAGAAACCCTTCTACGTGTATAGTTTATATACACTGTTAGACAAACCTCTACGTGGCTAGTTTATATACATTGTAAGACACACACCTACGTGTCTAGTTTATATACATTGTAAGACACACACCTACGTGTTTAGTTTATATACATTGTTAGACAAACCTCTACGTGTCTAGTTTGTACACATTGTTAGAAACACTTCTACGTGTCTAGTTTATATACATTGTTAGACAAACCTCTACGGGTCTAGTTTATATACATTGTAAGACACACCTCTACGGGTCTAGTTTATATACATTGTAAGACACACACCTACGGGTCTAGTTTATATACATTGTTAGACAAACCTCTACGGGTCTAGTTTATATTCATTGTAAGACACACACCTACGTGTCTAGTTTATATACATTGTAAGACAAACTTCTACGTGTTTAGTTTATATACATTGTTAGACAAACCTCTACCAGTCTAGTGTATATACATTGTTAGACAAACCTCTACGTGTCTAGTTTATACACATTGTTAGAAACACTTCTACGTGTCTAGTTTATATACATTGTTAGACAAACCTCTACGTGTCTAGTTTATATACATTGTTAGACAAACCTCCACGTGTCTAGTTTATATACATTGTAAGACACACCTCTACGTGTCTAGTTTATATACATTGTAAGACACACTTTTACGTGTCTAGTTTATATACATTGTAAGACACACTTCTACGTGTCTAGTTAATATATATTGTAAGACACACTTCTACGTGTCTAGCTTATATACATTGTTAGACACACTTCTACGTGTCTAGTTTATATACATTGTAAGACACACTTTTACGTGTCTAGTTTATATACATTGTAAGACACACTTCTACGTGTCTAGTTTATATATATTGTAAGACACACTTTTACGTGTCTAGTTTATATACATTGTAAGACATACTTCTACGTGTCTAGTTTATATACATTGTAAGACACACTTCTACGTGTCTAGTTTATATAAATTGTATGACACACTTCTACGTGTCTAATTTTTATACATTGTAAGACACACTTCTACGTGTCTAGTTTATATACATTGTAGGGCAGACCGCAACGTGTCAAAACATTGTTATTAACGCTATATTTATTTCATTTTGTTTTATTTAAAAATCGTATTCCTCCTGTTAAATTATTTTAATTTGCACATACCACATGCAGTAATTTGATTGGGAATGGGTAAATTGGAATCTTGTCTTCGTTTTTGGTAAATGGGTTTGTTAAACTCAGTAAGACGGTAATGTTCTGAAGTGTCTAGATCATATCGTTTTAACAGTTACGTATCAAGGACATTGTGTCTATACAATGTTAGGCGGTTACACATGTCGTTACAGCGGTCAGACTGTTACATACATGCATATGTGTCTAGGTCAGTGTGTCTGTGTGTCTAGATCAGTGTGTCTGTGTGTCTAGATCAGTGTGTCTGTGTGTCTAGATCAGTGTGTCTGTGTGTCTAGATCAGTGTGTCTGTGTGTCTAGGTCAGTGTGTCTGTGTGTCTAGATCAGTGTGTCTGTGTAAGATAAGACAAAAAAAGTATCAATACTAATATAAGATACAGCCGTGACCTGAATTTTATATTTTAACCCACTTCCCGTGTTATATCGGCTCAACCCTGACGGCGTTTCTATTTTTGTTACATCTAAATGATCAGGAGAATTTCGTGTTACAGAGAAATGTAGAAGATAATGTTAATGGTCGCCACTGTATAAATGAAGATATTTAACAAACTTTTAATCAATACATCAAACTTGTCATGCTGTGATATGCAGACGACACATTTTATTTTTATTTTTGAATATTTGAGCAACAACTCAGTTATATTTCATCACTATTGGAAAAAGTGGAGATTAAAAGCCAATGTGGGGTAAACAAAACCTCTTTTTCTTGTTTTCTTTTCCAAAACGAAACCGAAGAAAATGGTGGCTTTACTTAAGGTAATGCACCATTTGATTAAGTCTATAGATTTAACAAGCTAGGCGTTTTTTAAACACGGATATTCATTTTCTGAATCATAATAATAATAATAATATACAACATTTGATATAGCGCCCTATCTAGCTAACATAAGCCACTCTAAAGCGCTTTACAGTACATAGATATACAAGTAATACAATTAGCATATACATTAATTAATTCAAGTATGAGGAATTCGCAGGAGCTGCCTTATCAGGCGCTAACTACCAGTCCTATGCCACCTGGCTTATATCTCCCTATGTGTGTATGCCTGCGTGTGTGCCTGAGATGTGTTTTATAATGATGTTTTGGTTTTTTTTAAAGGGGAGACAACATTATTTTGTTGGATGTTCAGTTGTTGAGGCCTGCTATATCCATGGTTTAACCACCGGGACGGTAATTGTTAAAGCTCTAAATAATCGGTGTGTTAATTACATTGGAGACATTGAAGATTCCGAAATCACGTCCCTTACAATGCTTGTGAGCATCATTCTTACTTTCATATAACACCGACATTGCACCGATAAAAAATCGGAATCAAACCTTAGGCATTGAAAAGATCAAAAAACGACCTCCGCGATTTGTAACCAATGTGTTGTTTTAGTTCTTGGTAAGTCCGTTTTCAGAATTGACAGAATGAGTTGCTATATTGCTGATCCATATAATGTGACGAATCCCTGAATTTAGCCCCATCACAAGTATTTACAGTCTATTGCAAACAGATCTGCAAAATATGTATTTTGCTACTAAGTTTGTTTTCATTCAGTCATGTTGAGTAAAGCTGTCTGGAGCGCCCTGTAGTTTTACACAGACGAACCGCATCACCACTTCTCAGTTTCTGCAAAAATATCCTGCAAGTGTTGAAATATCTTTTGGAATGAAAACGGCATTCAGAACCAAATGAGAATTTACCCTGAGATGTTTATGACTTATATAACGCGATAAATGATCGATACGATGACAGTAACACATTTCAGCTAGATATATGTTTCCTTGCTCCTTCCACCAAGACGGCCGAGGTTCGAATCTCAAGTCAGACGTGAAAGGGTATTGGGTCACCTGCCCGACCACGTGGACTTCCTTATGGTACTCCAGCCACCTCCCACATCAAAGGCCTTTGCGCGCTGCCATCCGGGCCAACAAGAGTTATTAATATACATATGTAAGTTTGAAAAACTTGTTTCATGATTGTTGTAAATTAAAGTACGTACTTATATCTTACTTGCTGTCGGGTTTTTGGCGTACCAGTTTGCAGGAGACATATACTCATTAGGATTGTGCAATTAGTCGGTGCGAAACCAAATTAATTCACATCGTATAATTCTTAATTTCACTTCCGCATGAAACCAAGATTTTCCAAGAAAGCATTTACGCACATGTGAAAGTAAAGCGAATACTGTTGATATAAGTAGTAATCTGTTTGTCTAGTCGGTTGGTCGAAGGAAACATTTCAGTAGAGTACTGGGTATTTTTTTTCTAGCTGTTACATCAAACACTCCATTGTTCTACTGAAGTCCAACCTTTGTTCAACCAACCATTAAAACAATTTAATCCTTTGAAAATAAAATGCAGAACTATAGCAATTGCTTGTCTTATGCATATAAATCGTACATTAATGTATTTTCATTTCATCATTTCATCTGATTGAAAAAGGTTAACAAATATTATCGTAAGTCAGCTACGTGTAGCTGTCTGACCTTGACCTTGACCTTTCATTCAGGGGTCTAGTGGGTACAGTCCCTTCTTACGACTGTCCAAAAACACAGAGCAAATTAAGTATGGAATCTGAATTCTACGGTTTTAAAAATGATATTTAATTACTTATAATTCCCGGTATGCTGACCACAGAACAGATGTTTGTTAAAACAAAAAGGGCACCTGTTATTGGCGGCATCCACTGGCGGAGTTGAGCGTAGGAATACAAGATTTCCCCTCCACTCCAGGCCAGGCTGGCTTCCATATGCACAACTGGTGGAAACGTTCAATTTAAATATAATTGAGGAAGTAATCCAGTTTTTCTTCTTAAAACTCTTTTTCGCATCTGTCAAATGTTAACTCTATTAAAGCACTCCTTAACAATGTGTATGAGAACTTTTACAAACTAAATATAAAACTTAACCAGAGACAAACTAGATTGTTTACGTATGTACAGAATATTTTACTAAAACAGAGAAAAAACACTTTACCAGGAACGGTGATCTGAATTTCAACATTCCTTATATAAAAGGTGTGGAATCGTCATCATTTTTCTATAATGCTATCAAAGATTGGGATAACTTGCCACATTCAAGAAAATTTGGAGATCACAAGATGAAATTCAAAAGTAAGATAAAAAAAAGTACTTACAAGATTTGGCAAAAACTGATTTTGAACAAGAATTCATCTTCTAAAGGTAATTCTTATTCTATTCTATTGGGCGACTCCAAACTTCTTCTAATAAATATATCTATTACAAAAATTTTAACTAAAGTACTACTTTGCAATGTTTTAATTTCCAATCTCATTCAAATGAGGCTGTAATTTTGTTCCAGTTATCCTATATTTTTGGTGACTACCAATTCAATATGTACTTTTTAAAATGTTACGGAAGATTTTATTACTATCATCCTCAGTTTTTACTTTATTAATAAGTCATTTTTATATACGTATTATACCCCAAATTGTTATAATTTGATAGACAGATAATAGGATGACATCATCTTGCATTGTGATATGTACAGTTATACATATAATTGTTAATTTAATATTTCAAGTGGAAATAACATCCTGCACAGACCCACATATATGTATATTATTAGAAGGCCATCTTAATTTCTAATGATACGTAAAACATAACCCCATGTTATACTGTCAAATAATATAACATCTTATTTTGATGAAATGATATAACATCATCATGTTTGACCAATTAGTACAACATATTCTATTCATAATATTACGAGAAATTATTCCATCTTATATTGTCAAATACTTAGGACCTTTTGTTATCTAAGTAATTACCATCTTTACTAGAGGACCGGTCCCATTGGAAATAAGCTGCCACCCAGCTTTCATGGGATATCCCGATACATTGTATTTAAAGTGCTCCAAAATTTTGTTATGTTAACCTTGATGTGATAATCCAAATACTGTGACAAATCTCTGATTATTATGCAATTGAAATCTGTGATCATATGTGATATTTTTACTTGTATCATGCTTTTACCAAATAAATATTATTAAATATTATAAGGCATGTATGTAATATTACATGGCAATATTCGCAAAAAGATTGATATGACAGCTTGTACATGTAATACAAATCAGCTTTCACATGGGCAGTACATTAAAACCTATACGTTAGGACAATGGTGTCCTATCTGTCAAACGCCGACTTCCACTATTGATATTATACTTACAAACGTATCACAAAGAGGACGCTGTGCTCCACTGCAAGTAGAAGAACTACTTTTAAAAGATGGCTGACACATCATCACAAAAAAACGAACACCTTATTGTCGTAAAACTATTGTCTCTCCTTTTGTTTCAACGTGTTTTCGAATAAAGTGTACGCAATTAGTACAAAATTGTTCAAGGGACAATAAACATCAGAAAGTGTAGCAGCATTATGAAAAGTCACTAACTGCGTGAATGGTAATTCATTATAGAAATATGCAAATTGTGTTGTGAATTAATTAGAATCCACATCATTGGTCCCGTCTTCAGGTGATCTTACCTGTAGCGAGAACGTCAAACCCAAAACAGACAAAAATAGTATTGGTACAGTACAGATACAGCCTTGGTATTAAACATACACTCTCCCTGATTCCAGATTAATGTCGGATCACGTACGGAAAATATTTAACCCATATTTACAATCCCTACATCATTAAAGTACACTTGTATCGGACCGGATGGAAGCATAAGAGGGTCCTAATGTGAACCGGTGTACCCGGATAAAACCTACGGGAACGGGCAAACAATCACAACACATAAAAAAACACAAATTTTAGAAATAACTGAGCTTTGAACAATTACCAAATTACGGCGAATTTTTGGTTAAATACAAATTCGGATGTTTTTCTCTCCTTCTGTTCTACAACACTATTGAATTATTAACGATTCCTGTTCCTCTTCAGACTAACGCTAGCAAGTTCCAGAGATGCTAGAGAATTTCTGAACCAACATGGCGAGTGGCAGCTCCATCTCTGCAGTCAGGCCCATTTTGGACCAAGTCTATTTTCTGTTGTAATATTGCCATTAACATTTGCAGCATATCTTTACGCTTTGCTTCTACTGTTACTCTATGTATCGTGATACGTACCGTATCGTGACCACAGTGTCGTGATACTTCCCGTATCGGGACCAAAGTATCGTGATAAGTACCGTATCATGACCACACTATTGTGATACGTATTGTGTCGTCATGTTAATGTAGCGTTGCAGTCGTACTATACACGTATCACAGTTCGCATTTCACGCCTTCTAGAAGCTTTAGCTTATAAAGGTGTAAGATCATCGTACAGGTAAGTTACGTTTGATTAGACTTCTGTCAAGGAAACATGCATGAAATTTAAGTATTTTTTCTGTCTCTCTTCCTTGTAATATGTCATTTCAGGATAAACAAGGAACGTATACTGCATTGTAGTTTAATCCTGCCTTAACACAATATGTGTAAGCATAAATCAGATGTCCCCGTGATACAAACAGCTATTATTGTAATTATTGCCCGTCAGGACGGGGTCAAACAGTTTTTTTTTCTATACACCTGTCCAGCGACACGCCACTTCACACCGTGATAGTGTGTTCCCGTCATTCAATTACAAATGCACAAAAGAATGACCCAATTCTTCCTCGTTAACAATTGTGTAAGTCTATTATTTCTCCACACAAACACGAAATAAGATCCAACTTTATTTGTCTACCAGGTAACAGCTACTGTATACAGGTCTTGCGTGGTTGTTTTTCAATCCTATTCTTTTATTTCGGAAATGGTGAATTTCGTTTTGCCTCTGAATATATTTTGAACATGCTAAAGCTGAGAGAATGAAGCAGTGTCCAAAAACAAGTTCATTTGATCAATTCGAAAATATTTTAAAAATCAGATATAAAACTGTCACAAATGACTATTTTGCGGGGTAAAATTACCTAGTGAAATTGTTTATCACTGTAATGTCATTTTTTAAATGTATCTCATTTCAATTTTCACTTTTTTCTCGACTTAACCGATAAATCACACTATAGAGTAAGGTATTTGCTGCAACCGAATGTTTTTTGAGACAAAAAAGTCTTGGAAAATATTGCTGAAAGCTTTTTATCGTCGTAATTAATTACCAAAATCGTTTTGAATGAGGCACTAGAAGTAAAACCAAGATTGTTTCATATATAGAGAGGGTGGCGCGTGGTGGCCATTTTTTATTATTGTTGTTCTGGAGTACTATGCGTTCAGAACATGGCAGACCAACTCTTATAACTGATGGTCAACTTTATCTTTTCAACATTCATTTGATCGATGATACATTAAGTACTTACTTGATCTGAACATTGTTGTTGGCTGTTGTATTCCTCGTTAACATCCAAGTATGGTCTCCGTGGTGTGTACGACACAAATATAGTTGTGGGTATGTTTCGCCTCGCGTATCCAATCTCTCTCAAAGGGTAGGCAGCTATCGGCCTTAAATATCACCCAACGCGGTCAGCCATGAAAGCTTCACCGACTTCAAGTCGGCGTGACTGGCCAGATTTGTTTCATTATGTTCCTTCCGAGTTTATCGTCTGCTAAAGAATGAATATGATTTTAATGACTTTGTGATTTATTAATTAATAAATTAGCATATGCGTTTGTTTTAATGATGACAATATAGTTCATGTCCATGCGACCAAGACTACGTTTTAATGGACTTGTTCCCAGTTTAAAACTTTTCAATTAGGGTTATACGCCAAGTGCGATGACCAATCATATAGGCCGGGCACCTTTTAAAAATTCATTTACGTTAAAAACTGAACACTTTCGTCTCGTACACATTTGATCAGCTTTATATTTACATTTGCGCTGCAACCCACTATATGAACATGACCAGCAGAAATGCATTTCATTTAAGGATTTACCGACTGCTCCATTGGATTTATTATCTCATAAACTAAACAAAATCAAAGGTTAATCCTTATATTAACAATATTTGTTTTTAACAATAACCCCATTAAAAGTGTCGGATACAAGCATTTACCTTGTGTAATCTCCGTTCAAAATTATGTTGACGTCATGTTAATCCGTGCGAAACAACCATTCGCAAAAGCCGTTGACAGACAGCTAAACCCCGCCCACTTTATCCGTGACAACAAATGACAAAAGTTCCTCCATTTCAATTTTTTTATGCACATAAAATATCATTTTCTTACTTCATACACTATCTTAATAATTGTATTAGTAGGTAATGGATTTTTTTTTATATTTGTATGAAATTGAGGTACTGGGGCAAAATACTTAGTAGAAAATAGCACGGACTAATTAGATTCAGTTCCGCGACTATACGTATTGGGTTCACTAGCTAATTTGTATACGGGAAGGTGATGTCACTTGTACAAACATATGCACGTGCATAAACGTGACATGCTTTAGATATGGATTCGTTTAGTAATTGGCACGGAAGGTCAAGCTGCCGGTTAGACTGATCATGAACCGCGACAGTTTGAACAAGTGTCTTTTTAGATAATTAAAGTGTGATGGGGTAAATTCCGCTACGAGGCTAAGCTACCGACATTGGCTATATAATAGTCACTACAAGTGACATTATACTTTAAGAAAATATAAAACAAATAACTCATTTTAACGGCAGGGGTCTCATTTAATTGTGCCTGGGTTTGTTAGATAACCAACTATATGTCTATGAGATGTGGTTTTTAAAAAGGCACGGAGAAAGATGCATACTAATTAAGGTCAACCATGTCCCCTAAAAGATGGTATGACATACTTTCAACCCCCTAATAAGTCTTATGCAAAGAACACAATTAAACACTGGAATTCAGATATATAATTTCGATATATTCAAATGGTACATTAGTTTTAAAAATGATATATGATGACGATAACTTCAACAAAAATGAGCTATTTTTAATGCTAAACATTACCATATTCATGAAGGTCTTAAGGCCATTTGATGTTATCGAAACATTCTCGACAGCTAGTAAGATAGAAAGTGAACTCCGCATGATCTAGGTATATATGTCATTAGGGTGCATTCAATTGGGTGTCGAAAGTACTAGTGATTGACATGTTATCATGCCAGTGAACTAGTTTTATGAAGACATCGGCCTAAATGCCTGCTTGCAGACGAGGCTAACGTCGATTTTCATCATTTTAATAACTAATACAGATGTATATGTTGAATATATCCAAATTGTGTATCTGAATTTCGATGCTCTTAACATGACTTATCATGGGGTTGAGGTTTTGAGTGACAAACCCATCTTTTGGGTAGCTTGTTGAGCAAGATTTTAATTTCTAAAATACCGTCAATGCACAAGGATTACTCCTCGGCCTGACTCGGACATGGCGATAATCGTGTAGGTGCTATGAATGCAAGACCTAGTTTCACTTTGTTTCTCATAAAAGTTGCTGTCAGATACAAGGTAACATCTAGGTGCAGCCATCAATTTGTGTGAGTGAAGAGAACCTTTACACTTGATAGTCGAACATACATATGTGTTAGCGAAAAGAGATCTTGATTTCGGAAACTTCAACTAAGTCACCAAAAAAGACATGTTCACTATATCTCTAACTGACAAGTACGGAAAACGTTGGGAGAAAATGCTGTATTGTCAAAACTTAATCCCAAATCTACATATTACAGTCAAGGGCTTTTGTGAGGGAGCATGGCCAATGGTTGCAAAACTGCCATTTCCACCGAACACGAACTTTTTAAAGGTTGTGTATGGTTTGTGTAACACTCCAAAACTCAGGCAACATCTTATGCAGGACATTGTTTTGGTAACTCTAGGTGATGTATTGGTCATTGGGGAAATCGTGAGGACCATATGAATAATTTGAAAGATTTTTCTAGATATTCTGCAGTTATGGACCCTAACACAAGATATTGAAATGTGGCTTCTTTAACGAGAACGTAGGGTTCCTTGGAAGAATCGTCAGCAAGAATGAACATGTTGCTTCAAGCGGTCTTCTTATTCTTCCCTTTATGTAGCGGATGTCATGAGTGTACCAAAGACCATGCACTGGTAAAACATATACACGATGCAGACAGATGAGGTAGATTCATTAGCAAAGAAACCGGAATATCATAGTAATCTGTGGTATGGCAGTGAGGCGTTTGACTGAGCGTTCTTAAGACACGTACATCTGCAATATATGGTAGAATAATCACAAGGTGATTTATCCTGTAAATTCAATTTCTTGTAAACTGTGCCGAAATGAATTCAAGCTACAAGGTAATGGCCAATATCGGACCTGATAAGCAACCAGCAGAGTCAACCAGTAGAGTCAACCAGAAGAGTCAAACAGCAGAGTCAAACAGCAGAGTCAACCAGTAGAGTCAACCAGGAGAGTCAAACAGCAGAGTCAACCAGCAGAGTCAAACAGCAGAGTCAACCAGCAGAATCAACCAGCAGAGTCAACAGCAGAGTCAACCACATTATTGACGTAAAATATTCACTACAGATACGTAATAAGAAAGTAAACATATAACTGCACCATATGGTGATTTCGACCATTTAGGACTTGTAAGTGGTACTAAAGGTCTAAAGGTTTAAAGTAAATGTTTAAAGTGTCCCGGAGAGTATGTAAAATTATGAAAAAAGAGAAGTACAAAATAGCAATGTTAGAATTACTGACACTAGCGAGACTTATGAAGAGATTGGCCTTCAATAAGAAGTGCTGGGATTGAATTGTACCTTTTAGATTCTGTAAAAGTACCACAGAGAAAAATTAAGACAATTTTTCTACACCAGCTATTTTTGGTTCTAGCAAATCTTTGGAAGCAATTCTCTAGGGACAGAGCAAGACTCTATAACGTGTCGCTACACACTTCACATCGCTGTTAATTGCTTGTTATATTGCCTCTAAGATTTTATCGGGAATACCGAGAAGGAATAATAATTGGAACCACAAACGCTGTCGTGCAGAAATCGACAAAGTCTTTCCCAAATTTTTGAAATAAAACTGTAATTCTGAAAGAACCAAAAATTAATCATATCGAAAGTTTTCCTAGCGTCGACATGATAAAGGAACGTCGAACGTAACCAATTAACTAAGGTAATTGATATAGTATACCAAAATGATTAACACTGCACCGTACAGCTGTTTGGTCCATAAGATTTATTGGCGAATTCAAATAAGTAATAAATAAATCGAATGTTATGAACTGTGCCATAACTCAAAAGAGATAACTGTGGTCAGCAAGTTACGGCAAACCTCGGAGGCTAAGAAAGCCATCAGCGAGCGGAGTCCACCACCTTGAATCTTGAATGATGAACGTAACACGCTTACATATGTTGATTGTACCTAGTAACTTAAAGTTAAATGTTTAGAAAATTTGCGACTATTAATAATGCTATATAAGAACTGTTAACGCTCTAACACCTTTGGTTTCGTTGTGCTTTTCAGATATATCCTACGTCATGGATTGTTCATCACTGCCGCCTTTCATCAAACCTGTCGCTTGAAATTAATAGAATCAGGGAAACTGCTATTCCAGTGCTTTAGGTTAGATTTACCATACACTGATTTGGTTATAGTTTATAATATAGTTTGTTTGGTGGAATATCTGTCACAAAAGCTTCCAGGTCATTTTATAGTTGATAGGGTACAGGTGTGTAAACTGTTTCTGTTTAAACAGCTTGAAGGTATGGCTTCTTTTACTTCGTTATTGTTTTCATTACATCCGTAGGTAAGGAACGAACATCAATTGTTTTGGATGCCACAAGCTATAATGTTATACAATCTAACTTTGTTATTTTGTTGAAAATACCAAAACTGAAAGGGACTTGATGGCCGTAGGTCCATAATTGGTCATCGAAAAACCTATCAAATGAAGTAATCCAATGACGTCACGCATCACGTAACTTTAAATTGTCTCAAATTTAACATAATCGTTAGACAAGAGAAAATGGTGGTTTCCCCATCTTGTTATCATCTTATATACCAAGAGAGACAGAAATTTCGGGCAGTACACGTATTGATGCACGATACAGGATATTAGTGCTATAAGTTGGTCCTTAAATCGTAAGTGGATATTACGTGCACAAAGCATACGGAAGTTTAGGGTGGACACAGGACGTGGTGTGTGGAAAAGGTATTATTTCAATCTATATACAATTATCTTTGTTACTTATATAGACGTCACCGCCTGTCTATAATGAACACATGACTTTAATCATCACCTGCATCATAACTACCTGTTTATCAATTAATACCTGTACGTGATGACCACATCTCTATATGTCCATGTCTCTGGACATATAGATATACTAGTATATATGACTAAACGTCAATGGCGGTCTATACTGGCCGTCAGACTTAAGGTAATAGGATTGTGTCACTATTTCTCAGTAGATATTTATCAAATTTTGTAGTCATATTGCTTTGAAGTAAAGAAAATTTTCTGCCACAAAAAAAAAAATATAGGTTGTCAAAATTTTAAGGATTTTAA